CGCAAACATACCATCGCTTTCTTGTGCGCACCACCCGCAGAGCACAGCGTAGCGCGATTGACCGCGCCGGACTCTTCCACTCACTTGCTTGAGCGCAAAGTCTCGTCCGCTAGCCTTGTCTCGGGCAAGATATACGAACGAGAATCCGCCCTCGCCCAGTAGTCTAATGATGTTCAAGCTGCGTCCATTAAGCTTCAACGTCCCTCCAGCCGCAAGTCCTGATGATCCCGGCGCTCCGCTTCCTCCCGCAATGAGCGATGACGCATGACCTGAGGAGCCCAGCATGGATGCCAAAGACCCAGGCAGCATGTTGAGAGCCGGAGCGCAGCATGATGGGATGGATGAGCCTAGCGCATGTATGGCATCTTGGAATTGCTCAGCGAGAGTTGCGCCACTCGCACCGCCTCCTCCAACCGCACCGTATCCTGACATGCTGCGAACAGGGATAGTGTCAGGTTAGACCGAGAGTTTGGATGACAACTAGAGAGCGGGGTTTCCGATGGGCTTTTCGGTGTTGCTGTATTAGAGAGCAGTCTTGGACTTGCTTCCCCGCGATGAGGGCTCCTTTACGCCAAAGACGATTCAGGAGCTGAGACGCTCAAGAATGACGAGTGCGGGAGTGTAGAGAATCAAGAATGTGAATGTGAATGTAGGCTGGACCACCTGCTTGCTCTGCTGGGAGTCACGAGTGTTGAGGGTTCGAGGGGGGGCAATCGACAACATGCTCATGCGCTCGTGTCCGCCTATGATGCATGCACGTCCAGCTTCCACATGAACGCACGCGCCACGGTGCAGCTTGGCGGGTGCTGCTTTGATCACGTGGTTCAAACCGCTTATTTCACCTTGGCTTGTTTGAGACCTTGTTTGATGTCTCAACTCTTGACTCACAAGTTGGACTGAAAGGTCTTGATGTGACGAGAGTTCGTGAAGTCGAAAGCGGCCAACCAGTACCAAAAGGTCAAGTGATTGCGTCGAAGACGAGGAACGCTTCTTGTGTAAGGAAAGTTAGGAGACTCAAGCAGAGTCAGTTGACACCCGCGTCATTGGCAACCATCGACCGACACTTAAAGTTCATGCTTCAGCTTCCATGTGATTGTTGTTTAGCATTGCAGGCAATCGATGATACATGTCGGCTCCAAATTACAACAGAGACAGGAGACGAGGCCAATAAGATAATGGCAAGGATAGGGTTCCCTCGCGGAGGTGGGGCGACAGAATGACGAGATCATTTCTGCACAGGTATAAAGTTGCCAGCAACAAGCGTGGGTATGTTCCACGCGTCTCGCCCGATGGTAAAGGAGAAGCAGCACTTGACTCTCACAATGCCAGGCTCATCTTCTTGCGTGGCCGTGTTGCTTCTAGACATGGTTTGAGCTCCTCTCAGAGCAGAGGCAGACGACTGAGCCATGCTTCCTCTTCTAGATGCGTTGCCCGAACCGTTCATCTCCGCGCCGCCGTTGCTGATGCTGCCTGGCGCTGAGTTGGAAGCACTGTTCAGGCCACTTCCTTGAGGAAGCAGGTGCGCAGCAACAGCAGAAGCGTTCACGCTAGAATTGCTAGATGGCCTTCCGGCCGCAGCCCACCCTCCGCTCGCGAAGCTAGCAGTGCGTATTTTGAGCACGCAAGACGTCAATACAGCCTTTTGGCCAGGATCGAAAGATACCGCGCCATATTTCTGGGCAGGCAGTGTGAAGGGCGTTGGCGAGGGAAGGGAAGCGCTTGCGTCACGCTCATGCACTCACTTCCCAATAATTGACAGCGCTCTCTTCATCCATCAGTTCGTATATGCACAGTCTGCCCTCTCTCAGCTGCTCTATCCCAACTCCAAGCAATTCCGCAAACTCTCGATTTCCTTTGTATATCTCGCCAGTGCGCCTCCACAAGCAAGCAGGGATGCCCTGGGTGGAAAAGACGCGGTCATAGTCGAGCAAAAGTCGCTCAAATGCTTCCTCAATGTAGATCAAGTCGATGTTGGTCAGCTGCTGGGCCACTGCTCGGAAAGCCGGTCTGAAGACTGAAAGAGGCTTCAGGATCCTCCGGCGTGAGGCGGGCGAGCAATGAGACTCCATCCATCTGTTGAGCCGGGCATAGCTACAAGGCAACGTGCAAAGACATTGCTCGCGTCAGCACGTTGAATCTTTGAGATTGTAAGACAACAAGCTCCGACCGAACGCTTACCCGTTGACGTGGTTGTATGGCCTGAGTAAGCCGGCGTCATACTTCGCCTGAATGACCTTTCCTAACCTCTCCTCTCTAGTCGCATCATTCTGATCTGCAGCAGTCAAGAAGAACTTTTCGGTCTTGGAGCTGAAGCCTTTGAGAACCGGGGCGTAAGCGCCGTTGCCAGCACCAGCGGCCGTAGGAGCGCCTGTGACGACACTTAGTGATGCATTCTCGCCGCTTCGAGGCGTGGTGGACGGCAAGAGCGGGCTCATGGAGCTTCCGCTGGCTTCTCCCTCAGGGCCAGTCGCGGCATTGGCAGCAGCAGCGACCGAAGCGGGTGTAGGCGCGGTGGTGAATGCCAATCTGGATCCCATCCCTCCAGGACCATTCATGGAAGAAGTAGAGAGCCCTCGCGTCCGATGCCTCGCACCAGGAGTACCAAAAACGTCATTGTTGTTCTGATTAGAATGACGAGGCATCATTCCCATCGTGCTTGGCGAGCTTGGAGCCATGGAGCTGAGCGTCGCATCCAGCATGATCCCAGCTGAACTGATAGGCGTGGAGCCCATGCCACCGGAAGCCCCCCAATCACTGCTCGGAACGACTCCGTCTCGGGAAGCGGATTCTCCCAGCGCGTTTGAAAACAGCCTTGGGGTCGCCTGCGCCTGTGAGCTAGAAGCTGCCTGGCCCCACGCTCCCCCGTTCGAAGGGCTAGAAAGCCCCGTGGGTCCATCGAGAGATTCTAGGAACTCGCTACGCGCATAGCACAATGCAGGATATCAGCATTCGTTGTCAACGCGCTCGAACGTGGTATTTTTGCTCACCTCAGAATGCTAAATTCCAGGCCTCCTGCCGCGTCGCCTGTTGCGCTGAAGCCGTGCTCATCGGCGGCTCCACCTCCCAGTCCCAGAAAGCCCGCTCCACCCAGTGCGCTAGCTCCCGTGCCTCCCCAGCTCCATCCAGCGGAAGGCAGCTGTCCAAGATTACTATATGCGCTGGCTGCGTTGGGAGTGATCAGTCCATTTGGTGGATTGGCCAAGCTGACTTGTTCACCACTGTCTGGACGAGACATCCCTTCGCCCACTGGAGGAGCGACGATGGACAAGTCACCCGGTGGTGCACCCGACGAGTCATCAGTTGCCTCTCCGATCTCAAGGTGAGGCGCTGGTCCCATTCCAGCCGGGGATCGAGCAGTCATTGGACCTCCCTCGGGTGGCGCACCGACCTTTGCATGCTGAGCGCCTTCACCTTTCCGCTGTTTAGTAATCTTGCTGGTTCCAGCAGGCGGAGTGACTTTTGCAGTACCATGCGTGCTCGAATCGCCTGCAGCGCCAGAAGCAGTCACAGTAGCAGAGGAAGAGCCTCGTCTCGGATTAGCAGCAGAAACGCTGCTCTGTGTAGCTTCGTCATGGCACAAATGACCAATGTCACGTTTGATGCTGCAGAGTCAAGGGATGAGTCGCGCATCAACAGGGCTCTTGACAATAAGTGCAGCTTTCATCGAGATTGCAGCAGCCAACACTACTTACCACCGTTTGCATGGTCTGCTTTCGTCGCAAGTCATATGGCTCCTTCTGCAGTAAATGCACGCAGTCCCGACTTTCCGCTTGCGAGTGTCCTTGGGCCCTGGCCCTGGCCCTGGCCCAGGCGAAGCGCTCGTGCTGGCGCTCGTGCTGGTCACATTAGCAGCAAAGGATGATGGGCCAGCTTGTGTGTCCCCGTGAGGCGATCCAGCGAGACTCTTGACAGGTGCACGTTTTGGAGCAGAACTGTTGTGCGGGCGCACTGAGCTTGTTCGCTGCGCGTTTGAGCTCTGGGGTGTGGACGGGGATGGCACGTGTGGACGACTTGCAGCAGCTCCGCTCGGTGCAAACGAGGATATTGTTGATGGTCTGGGTCCCACAGGGCGTGCTGCACTACCCGATGGAGCTTGAAGTCGTGTCGGGTTGGTGGAGGTAGGCGGTCGAGCCTGCGGCCTGGCTTGAGGATGAGGGGGTCGAGGAACTTGGGGTCTGCCTGCATGGGCTCCTGCACTAGCTGGTCTGGCAGTGGTCGCTGATGCAGGTGCAGGCTGTTTGGTGCTCGTGTTAGTAGCGGAGCTTGTGCTCGAAGGTGTATCGCCTGATACCATTCGTACAGGTGGCCGTGGAGGAGGCCTGATGGGGGCTGACGGCCTGGTGACTGGATTGCCAGCGGCTGGGCTAGGGATCGGCCTTGAGTTTGCCGCGCCAGAAGCTGGCCGTGGCGAGGAAAGAGTTGCGCTAGTGTTGATTTTTTTGACAGGCGGTGCGTTCGTGGCACCCGATATAAGCGCGGGCGCCGTAGAGGGTCCAGCTGCTCGCTTCGCAGGTGTCACTTGAGGTACAGTCGAGCCAGCGTCCGAAGCACGTGCAGAGAACAAAGGCGCTTGCGACGCACTTGTCCCCGCAGACTCTGTGACACTTGTGGCTGGGCTCGCTCTCGAAGACTCCACCTTCATGCCAGAGGCCTCTGAAGGCGCAGCTGGCGCTTTGGGAGCAGGATGCTCCGGCCTGGACGATGTTGACGGGCCAGCAGGAGGACTCATCTGCGCATCCGCCTGCGACATGGCTGCGAGATGCAGCCCAGAGTGCGCCGTATCAAGGACGCAGCGTGAAAGATTGAGACGGCAATGCGAAAAGAGCACGGCTGGTGATGGTGGTGAGGTCAGACCGACTTCGGGACGAGCACGAGTGCCCTTCGCAACCAAAATCTCAATTGTGAATAATCACGAAGATCTAGAATATCAAAATCACGAATCACGGATTTCATCGTGCGTCACAGCCTCGAGACGCTTGACGCGATGCCAAGAAGTTTTATGTGCATCTCGCTTTTTGCTTCAAGTCAATAATGATTAAAACATCATTTTTTCTGGCACTTTTCACTCTTGACTTGTTCTTGATTCTAATGGGAATTCAAGTCGTTGCTTTAAAACGTCTAATCTCAAAGTCTAGGGCTGATATTCAAGATTCTTGATCATGTCTAATTGAGCCGGGATCAAGAATAAAATAACTCGACCATCAAGCATGCAGGCGCCGACGCGCGCGCATGCGCGCGAGAGCTCGCGAATTTTGAATCACCGGCAACCAAATTCTCGGCTGGCCGGTTTCAAATCAATAATTTCGAATGTGGATCGAATCCGTGAGCTTGCTCATATCGTAAGGCTTCAAAATGACTTCCTGTCAGTAAAACAAACGCCGAGACGAGCTTCGAAGATCTGCTGGCGCGCCGAGCCTTTTGAATTTCGACTCTTTGAGCCTTAATTCAAGGTTCAGATTGATCACCAGCAGTCAAGCTTTAAGTCATTCTTTTCAGACTTCCGCAGACCTGCCCTCTTACGTGCGAGAAGTCGAAGAGCTCTCTATTTCAGCGAGGCAAAGGCCAAAGCGATGTTCTTTGCCATCAAGCAGCAAACCATCATCGTAGGTATGAGCTGCTGTGTCGGACTCTTGACTGGGATCACGGAATCTCAGATAGAAGCCTAGCATATGACACTAAGTGCACGCTGC